TACCGTTCGATAAAGAGAGTGATATTATATAGTGACAGAAGTAGTATTCACTTGCGCCAGGATCGCTTCTCATTGCCAGTAACAATTTCGACTGGATCATCTGCTTGCACAGCAGAACAAGGTGATCGAATCCGTCTTGCAGGCTTACGAGACTACGGTAATTTTGTTTCTGCTTACAAGCAGTCTATACTTTATGATTCTCCAAACTTTCCTAAGAAAACAATCGCTGATGTTATTGAAGATTCTGCTGCTGCTTTAATAAGTGAGGGTGCCGCATTAGGAAAGACTCATGAAGCAAAATGGATGTCAGAGCAATTGCTGCCTGTTAAACAACTCGGTATCAACTTGGAAGTCAAGGAGGAACCTGATCGAATTCCTTCTCAGATTGGCGAGACATGCGTGTATCTCTACACGAAGGAATCATTCTGGTATAAATTGTTGAATAATGTCCTGCGCAATCACCGAAATGCCACTTTAGAGCAAGTAAAAAGTTTTGGTCCTTTCTGTTACTTAACTTATTATTATTTGCGGCAGATTGCCACATCTGACCATTTTACTGTTTATCACGGACTTACCTTAAATGACGCACAACGAGAGGAATTTACGATGATGAGCTATGACCTAATTCGCTTCACTGCGTTCACATCGACCAGTAGAAACCGTTCAAAAGCAGAACAGTTTGGAGATACACTACTTATAATCGATGTGGGTGGACCTGATATCTATAAACAGCAAAAAATCGAATTACGCCCTTGTGGAGTCTATATTTCACATTTATCAGACTTTCCTGGCGAAGAAGAATATCTGATATGGCCTCAATCACTTTTCCAGTTCGTTAAATATGAATATGACAATGAAAAGGCAAAACATTTAATTTATTTAGAATTGGCACCAAGAAACTGGTAATGCGAATTGTAATCCTCGCTTAAAGACGAGAGTGTTAGCATGGGTGTGGCTTGAATTTAAAATAAAGCTTTTAGTAAAATTCAAAGAATTTCAAGAAATTTTTGTAAGAGCTAATACGATGCATTTTCGTCTTGCTTAAAGATCTTATCAACCAACCCAGGAGATTCAATCTGATCTGTAGATCCGACCGAAATTATTCAGATTCGACAGGATCCGACTCTCCATAAATCTCCTGAGAAATTTAAATAGTTGAGGGTGTGGGTGTGAATGACTAGAAAACCCACACCCACACACCCACGCTCACGCCCCTCCCCCCACAAAAGACTTCATATATGACTCAGGATCAACACGCCCAGCATATCTACTCGATATCTTTCTTAAGATTAATGAAAAATTATTCCAAACTAGGATTTTGAAGATATTGAAAAAGTAGAGGTCTTTTTCCAGATACTTAAAGTGGTTTTCGTCCAAATTTTAGCTTACAGACTAGAGTGCTTTTGTTTTTCGAACACATTTCGAGTTTGATGGCAAATAGTTTGCCAGTAGGAACAATCTTTGTAGATTTTCGGACTGCCTTCGACTAATTATGGTTTCTTGAATGTATTGGAAAATTGAAAAGAATGGGAATTTCAAGGTAGTACTTGATGTAGATAGACAATTGGTTGACGAATAGAAAAGCTTTCATTGAAATAAAAGGCAAACGCTCAAGGTGGTTCCGCATTTTCAAAGGATGACCTCAAGGCTCAATATTTACACCACTGTTGCTTATTATATGGCATTGTGATCGAACTGAATTACTAGGTTGTTACTTAAGTCATCTATTTGCGGATGATCTTGCAGCAATACTGGCTGGAGATATTGGATTGAAATATTCATTTCAATGTCTCGAACTTGACAAAAAACTATCGATGTTGTTCGAAAACTTGGAATTCTACTGTATGTTAACAGTCCAGCCAACAAATTAAAATAAAATACAGGCACTATTTTCCGTCAGAGCGATCGATTATCGGAGCGTGGAACTGAAATGCGTTAACAATAAAATTGAATGGTTGGAGGAAATAAAGTACTTAGGTAATATATTTACTTCAAAGCTAGAATCTAGTGCAATGAACAATACGGCGAAGCTGGAAGTACGTTGGACAGTTGTAGTGATCAACTCATTTCGTTTGAAATTTTTCACATCTCCAACTATAAGGAATGTTGTTTTCAACTTCTATATCCTTCCTGTCTTTTTATGGCTTTTCCAGTTTTTTTACTATTAATCTCGAAACAACAACAAGATTTAAACGAATTCTATACTCGATGTTTCCAAAGAGTAATGTTGCTTATGCATTGGAGTCCAAGTTTCTTCATATATGCTACAAATGAACTATCACTCGAATATCGATGTAAAAAATATTGGGAACGTTACCTGCTTGCGTTGGCAGATACAACAGATGGTTCTTTGATCTTTAAACAGAGTAATCTCAATGTACTAAGAGAAAACTGGCTAAGAGGGGAAAGCAAGATAAAAGATATTCGTCACTGCAAGAGATTGATTCCAATCTTAACTACAAACCTGAAGAAGTCATCATATTATATGAGCTCTCAGAAACATTTTAAAATACAAAAATTGTAATGCTATTCTACTGGCTGTTAAATAACGTGTATTTTTTCTTCCTTTTGTTTCTCTTAAATCATGTGTTGTAAGAACCATTGCACCTCATTATTAACTCTTAAGTAGTAAATGACGTCGGCATAAGCATGCGAAAATTTCATGGAAAAATTTTTGCAGTACAAGGGCATTTTCGCATGAAAATAGATAAGATAACAAAAACAAAAACAGAAATGATGAAATTTCATGAAATTAAAGTCACATCAGCATCGTTCAATATCAGTTAGAAAAATGACTTGCTATTGAAATAGTCTGATTTTAAAAATCATTATTGTAATATATTGATTAATAATAGCTGAAGTTCTATAATGACTAGGCATAAAATAATTCTGCTTGGTGATTATGTAAAAAGAACTTGATCAGAACGAGAAAATATATGACTCGAGAGAAAATCAATCATAGCAGAAAGACATCAAAACACAATTATGAATCATTTTTGTCGTCATTTTTTTCTTGTCTTCCTGTGCTACACTCCTTACTTTTTTTTGCCGCATGTCTTCTACTTATGGTTATTTTTTGCCTCGTCAGCAAGGGAACACAAAATATTTTGCTTTATCATTGCTCGAAGTGGATAGACATACGATCTTTCTAGTGGTATAAATAAATGGCAATTCATCAGAAAAGTAGACATTCTTGCCTTTTCATTCTCATACCACATATTTTGTCAACATACAGGTATTGTTTCAATCGTATTTTAGGACACACTATTTCATTAAGAATTATTGTACACAATAAAGAATTAACGTCATTGTGGTTTATAATTTTTATTTTATTTGAATATTTTTAACTTGCTTATTTGCTTTCATTGCACTCTCAGCAAGCGAGAAATCCTTATGTACACTCCCACAAAAATGTGAATACCTGTGCTCAATATTTGAAAACTTGAATAGTTGGATACTGAAAGTTCAACTTTTCAAATTTGGCATATGTGCATAAAATGATGAACCTATGATTAGTAGTGTTCAATAGAAAGATAAAAAATCGAACTGAGAAGTTCCTATACGAAATCAATTTACTTTCTTATTCATCTCCAGAACTCAAGTTGTTTCTATCGTGAAAAACAAACTGCATGATTAATTTTGAGTATTATTGTATATATACTTATAGGATATTCGTTTCATCCTTAACTAATTTTATATCTCAATTTACGTTCATTTAGCTTCAAGTTTAATTAAAATATAATGTTTTTGTTAGAATGAAATTCGCTAAATTTTGAGTTATATTTATTTGTTATTTGGATAATTTTTAATCATGATCAATTCCGATTGAATTTATAAGTTTAACAAATGAGTATGAAATAAAAGAATAAATCGAATGGTATCTCAGAATAAGGGTGAGAAAGTTATTGTTATTGTTATTGTTATTAATAACAATAAAATTAACTTTTTGATTCAAAATAATCAATGAAGCAAATCTAAGCATCGTTTGTACGAACGCCAAAAGATCAATTTATTAATACAGTATCTTTTCTTACCAATTGATATAAGAGCTTGTGGTAAATATTTTGAGAAATACTAACATAATATATTTTGTTATTGTTATTGCTAAATAAAAATAAAAATAACAATAACAAAATATATTATGTTAGTATTTCTCAAAATATTTACCCCAAGTTCTTATATCAAATGGTCACAAAAGATACTGTATTACTAAAGTGATCCTTTGACGTGCGTACAAACGATGCTTAGATTTACTTCCTTGATTATTTTGAATCAAAAAGTTAATTTTATTGTTATTAATAACAATAACAATAACAATAAATTTATCAACCCTATCTCAGAAAGAATGAGCTAGTTAACGATTAAATCTGCTTTCTTGACTTTTCAGCGTTTGATGCAAATTCTTTTTTTAAAAATTTCTCACAGTAGAGTTTAACAACTGACATAAATGAGATGCGACTGTCTGGTGGAAAATAGGAAGACGTACAATCGATTCCACCCGTGCGACGCACTTCTCTGATACTTTAGCTTTTGATGAATATTGTAAACTTGCATATTTACTCGCTTGAGATACATCAATCTATAAATCAGGTACACAATCAAAATCAGATATTTATTTATTTATTGAAAAACCAAAATTTGTGAACGATATTCACACACATATCGTAAGAACATGAATAACCAACTCTACAAACGAATTAGATTTATTTGCAACCGAATCCAATCTTTACAAGCTGTTTCAAAAAGGATGATATATCCAATAGAAGAATGCGAAACATTTATTTTCAATGGAGCATTCACAAATAACAACTGATCTAATAAAATAAATGATGAAACAAAATTAAAATTAAAAAAAACCTGTTTTCACATCTAGCATTGTTAAAAATGCAATGATGCATTTTTTCAAATATCATCATGATATGATAGTGATTTTTTATTGGAGTTAGAAAAAAAGCTATGTATGTTTTGATTTCAGATATATTTGTGAATTACTAAGAAAAATGACATCAAAAAAAGCGGTTGCAATAGTTATTGGTAAGAAGAATTCATTTTATCATTCAATTAATCTTGATTGTAATTTACAGGCGTTGGGCCAGGTTTAGGAACGTCATTAGCGAAACGGTATGATATTATCTATTATACTTAATTACTGTTGAAGTTTATAATTATTTTTTGTTTTAAAGATTTGCTGCTGGTGGTTATGCAATTGGTCTTATTGCACGAAAAGAAAGTAGTTTGCAACCTGTGCAAAAAGAACTTGAACAGCACGGTCATACAGGTGATCAAGTGTTATTTTTATTGTAAATATACAATGATATTAACATAAATATTTTCTGTTATAGCTTTAAGTGTAACAGCTGATGCTGGTGATGCATCAGCAATAAAAAGCGCTATCGATACGATTCGAAAAAAATTTGATAACGATCCTGAAGTGTTGTTATACAATGCCAGTGGATTTTTTTATGGTAAACTGAATGTTTGATTTTGTTTTTTTAATTTTTTATTACTAATCAAATATGATTTATTTTAAATTAAGGAAGTGTTTTGGATTTGAAACCTGAAATACTTCAAACAGCATTAAACACAACTGTTATTGGTGCTTTAGCAGCCAGCCAAGAAGTAAATATAAACTAGAAAGAGTTTGTTGTTCTTTTTCTTATTGAATTTTAATAGGTTCTTCCGACCATGATCAAAAATGGAAAAGGAACCATATTGTTTACTGGTGCCACTGCTAGCCTTCGCGGTTCAGCTAAATTTGCTGGTTTTGCTGTATCGAAATTTGGATTGCGCGCACTAGCTCAATCCATGGCTCGTGAATTCGGTCCACAAGGTGTCCATGTTGCTCATATAATTATTGACGGAGGGATTCACCAACCAGGTCAAGCTGAAGGTAAAGTGTTCTTTCTTACTCCTAAAACAAAAACAAACAGTTACTTACGTGCTTAGGTCAACCTGACAAAGATATTGATTCATTTCTTAATAGTGATGCGGTATAAACGATGATAAATTTTTGTTTTTGTTTTTCTTTCTTTTAATGGAAAGTTTATCTATTGTAGATTGCTGAAACATATTGGCAATTACACATCCAACCTCGTTCAACATGGACACAAGAACTTGATCTTCGTCCTTCAGTGGAGGAATTTTAAAACAGAACTTTCGTTTTCTAAACATTGAAATAATTATTCAAAAAATAATGGAATCATCGACTGTATTTTTTTAAAGTTATATAAACAAAAGCATTCTTGTATTTTATTGAAATTCTTTTTAAATTTTACTAAAAAGGATAAAATTAAAAAGAGAACAGAGTGAGATTTTTAAATGTAACAATCTCTAGCCGATTCAAATTTTATAAAATAAACATGAATGAAAAATTGTTCTTTTTTATTGAGTCTAAAATGTATGCTATATAAAAACTTGTTGCTTCTTTAGGTTTCTCTTTTAAAAAATATTCTTTTTCTTGTCTTTCGCTAATATTCTATCCGAAGACGTTCTTAGCAAGAACTAAACGTTACGTACCTTGATCAAAATACTAAATAAACAGATTACATTGTTTCGTGCGTCCCTCGTTATTTTATAATTGTATTTTATACTATTCAAGCAGATAAAGTTTTCAGAAAACGCGTGTACACGCAAACAAAAAAGAGAAAAAAGTTGTCTTGTTCTTCCAACTCCAGAAACAATACTATAATCGTGATCATGCATCTCGAGAATGAGAAAAAGACCACTTTTTCTCTTTTTTGTATGTGTGTACACACGTTTCTTCTTTGAAAAAGCGTTTAAACGCGTTTTCTGAAAAGTTTGTCTGCCTGTATATCAAGTGATCTAAATGATGCCACCGGTTAAGAAAATTTTAGATATTTGAAATTGTTTGATATGGGTTTTGTAGAGCATTGACTGGGCTATCTTTTCATATATTTCTTTTTCTCAACCCTTTGTAGCAGCTGAGAAAGACTAAAAATAGTGTTCTCGGATGTTGTTTGCACCTGCTGATGAAAAATGGTCTAATAAAATAAACGAAAGATGCCTAAGAACTTCTTTCAGATGGCATTCGATAGAGCTTTAAATTCTCTACAAAAACATATATTTCAAGTTCATATACCACACATGACTGTAACTTTAGAGGGGAAATCCTGGAAAAAATAAAGCATTTCTGAAAAAATCATGTTTTTACATCATGATCCACAGATCTAAGAAGCAGGCGTGTTCCAATGAGATATTTATAGAAAAACTTCTTGAATACCGGGGTGGCAGAAATATGAAAAGATTCCACAAAAATACTTGGGTCGAAAAAAGTTATAGTCAAAATGCTAAAGATATTTTGTGTAAGAAACCCTAAAATCTAATTGTTTTGCACCCAAATTTTGTTTCTATGTAGCTGTAATCACAGATTTCGAGGCATATTTGGAATCAGGATGAAAAACTGAGTCGACTGATATGTTT